TAAATGGGTAAACGTTTTTCGGGCTTCTAAGTTAGGATGGCGGAGAAATGCTCTCCGCAGACCCATTCTCATAGCCGCGGGAAGTCATTTTGCTCAGGGGGTGCTGCCAAAAGTGAGGATGGAGCCGTTTAAAAAAACGGCTCCATCCTGTTTGTATAAGGCGAGACACGGCAGGCAAAAACATCGTTTTTCATGCACTGGTCAATTTTGAGATGTTGTGCTATTTTGATTCCATAACATGTTTTCTTTCAGGCTTTTGGAAGGAAAACGTACAAAATACACATTTAAGTGTTCATTTTACTATAGTGTGTCTATTTGCATCTGTATATTTTTCCTAAATTCACCAAAAGTTAGCATTTCTAACGTAACATAAAGTACCGCGATCGCTGTTTGCACAATGTCATCGTTGGAAATGCTCCGTCTCTCCTGCACAATGATCTCATAGTCATTTGATCCAAATATGGTCATTTCCTTTGTATCAGCAACCAAACGTGAAAGTACAAAAGGGTCTTAAACCAAGAAACGAAATCTCATTGGCTGGTGTCAATTTCTGACAACGTGATTCGTTCAGATGCATCACGTGGTGTGCTAAAACACTTCCTGGTTAGCTTTCCGCTAGAAATGTAAATCTCAAAATGGCAAAAGAACGGCGAAAAAAACGTTCACATAGAAGACAACAACAATTGTCACTTGCACGAAGCAAGGTTATACAAAACACAAATGACCCCGAACATGAAATACCTTCACGGAGTGCGTCGAGGCGCAAGCTATCATCCAAAGAACAGGAGGGTTTAGCTAGCGCCTCACTGCAATCTTTAAAGTTCGTTTTCTCAAAATGAGTTTTTTCTCCTACTCTTGAGTCCGAAATTTCCACTTCAGTTGCACTTACATACACCAGACCTTTCAGTTATATTCCTATCAATATTATGAAGGCTTTTACAGAAGGGTTTGTTCATATATCATTCATAGCCTGAATTATATAAGATTTTATACCTAGAAACATGGCGAAAATTGATATTTTAGGGCTGTTGACAATATTTTCTGATTTATGGATTGATAAAGAGAGATATCCAAAATCCCTTCGGTGAAAGCCTTAGATGCTAATATGACTACAAAATGAAACGAGATTTTGAACCTGGCTTTATCCAAAGTGCAGATTTCGGTTCCTGAAATGTGTTAAAATATGCGCAAATGTAATGAGATAATGGATAATTTATATATATATTACTTTAGTTGTAGAGGTGGTGGGCTGAGGAGTAGCTGGTGGTCCACTCTTTTTATTGGGTTGTTTGTTGGAGAAGAAAATCCAAAATCCTTTTTTGCACCATTCTAGAAAGTTGTCACTCTGCAGTGTGTGTGTCGCGTCAATTACGTCACTCTCCCAAGACCTACGACCTAGATGACTCGGATTTTACTTATTTGGAAAATAAATTCAAGCCACCTGATATATACAAATATATACTATGACTATTATATGCTACTGTATACAGCTAATTTTATTTTAAGTAAAATCATAACTATTTTATGCAGTTTAATCATTTTTATTTAGGTGGTCACTCAGTTTTTCAAATGTACACCACTCGCCAACAGGGGGTGCTGCAGCACCCCCAGCACCCCTACTTCCCGCGGCTATGCCCATTCTCACAGCGTTATAAACCTTTTTCTTACTCAATATCAAATCAAATCAAGTTTTATTTATATAGCACATTTATAAACGATTTTTGGTCGAGCCAAAGTGCTGTACATATTGTAACGATCACAAAGGGAGTCGGAAACAGGCTGCTAGTTATTAGGCTTTAATAACTCTTCTTCTTTACAGATGATCACAGGTTCAGGAACAGCTTGTGGGTTCAACCTCACACTAACTCTAACTCCCACACATACCCATATATATATCAGTGTCTACGTCACAACTTCCCGCCCTCCCCCGTCTGCTCCCCCAACCACAGGCCCGCACCTCAACCAGCATCACTGTGCAGCTCTATGATTGGCAGAGAGACGGGGGATGCCTGAGTGACACCCTCAGCATCCTATACAGGGTCGCTACAATATAATAAAAATAGCCTACAGTAGAGACACTTTACAGCAAATACAACAGCACAGATTGTTCAGAATATCAGTATGAGAAAAACAACACCCTCTATCCTTAGACCCTCACATCGTACAAGGAAAAACTTCCAGAGAAAACCCACAGTCCTCTTAAGCCCCACGGACCCGAGCTCGGGTCCGAAAATGCTATATATGTAGCAACTCTATTAATATTCCATACCCATCTGACCGGAGGAAACTTGGCTAACTGACGATACGAAAAAGAAGTCTCACAAGAAGCCTCTAAATGAGCCCATGGCAAAAACGGGCAATTGCTATTTCTGCTCATAACTCACAAAAACGATCATTTATAATTCATACTTTCTGCACAAACAACACATTTTCTGAAAGCTGAGATTCCACAGATTCCATGGGTATACACCCCATCACTACAGGCACAACATTAACCGAGCTAGCAGCCAAAACATAGCAAGTAAACAATATCAGTTTTCAAATCCATGACAATAATTAGGTCTTACCTTGGCTGTTTTGTGATCAAAAGTTGTGTTCAAAGGAATAAAAACGCTGCTCAAGGTTAATCCAATGTCTCTTGTCACTTTAAAATGATTACTGATAATCAATGCTTTCATTCACGGCAGAAGAGTAGGTCCACCGATTAACAGTCCGTGGCTTCAGCTGCGGGAGATGCAGTTTACGCATAGCTCCTCCTCCGCAGGCGTAACGTATTTACGTATTTGTATGTACTGCCACTCGATTCGATTGGCTCTAACGAGTCAAAAAAGGTGTCAATCACCCAAATCGACCAATGGGTTATAGAGATAGGATCTTGCGTAAGTATAAGTAAAGGCAGTATAGCTGGCTTATGCACACCCCACTCTTTTTACGCAGCATATTATAGCATAGCATAGCATAGCATAGCATAGCATGTCCCAGCATGTCCCGCAGCGACAGGAGAGCAGAGAACGGCAGATCGATCAGCGAAACAGCAGGATTTGTTTTCGTTACATTACTCCGTTCTCTGCTTGTAATTATGCTTCAAAGTTGTATTTATCATCTAAATTTGCTGAAACAAGTTTAATATTCTGAAAGCCAATACTTTGTTTATTTGAAAAGAGATGAAAACAAACTGTCTTTTATATAAAATTGAAGTATTATACAAGTAAAACTACATTTAGCTTTAATCCCATGTAATTGTAGAATGAACGCAGTCTTCCTTTGAAGATGTATAAATCAGGTGTCTTGAGTAGTGAAAATTACCTACAAATCATTGTACACATTTGTACATATTATTTTCCACTTGTTACCATTGTGAGTCTATTTTTATGCAGCTCTGCGTGATTTTGTGGCTACAATTCAGGCTAATACACTACCAGAGGTGGAATAAGTACTCAGATATTGTACTTGAGTAAAAGTACAAGTACTCAGATCTTGTAGTGAAATTATAAGTACTCAGATCTTGTGCTTGAGTAAAAGTTGAAGTACTCAGATATTGTGCTTGAGTAAAAGTAGAAGTACTCAGATCTTGTAGTAAAAGTAGAAGTACTCAGATCTTGTACTTGAATAAAAGTAGAAGTACTCAGGTCTTGTACTTGAGTAAAAGTAGAAGTACTCAGGTCTTGTTCTTGAGTAAAAGTAGAAGTACCAGAGTGTAGGAATACTCTGTTACAGTAAAAGTCCTGCATTCAAAAATGTTCCTCAAGTCAAAGTAGAAAAGTATTCTCATCAAAATATAGTGAAAGTAGCGACAGTAAAAGTAGTCGTTGTGCAGATTGGTCCATTTCAGAATAATATATATGATGTGTTTTATAATGATTGATCATGAAAGTGTTCTCAAAGCTGGTAAAGGAGCAGCTAGTTTGAATGACTTTGTGTACTGCAGGGTAGCTGGTGGATTTACTCCAGGTGGAACTAAAGTCTGATTCAACACTTGATTATATTTCACATCATTCATCCAGATCTGTGAAGTAACTAAAGGGATTAAATACATATAGTGGAGGAAAAGTACACCATGTACCTCTGACTTATGTTCACTTCCAACCTAAAAGTACCTCAAAAATAGTAATCAATAATGTATTGAAAAGTTATTTGGCTGATTGTTTTATATTGGCTCAGCCAGGTTATATGGGAGGCCTAGTCTATGTACAGATCACTCATTTTGAAATATTGAACTTAGTTTTCTTTTCTTTAATTTTTCATCCTCGTGTAGAAGGCTATCACGAAACACACATTTGGTTGTTTATCGCATAAAGAACATCTGATTTAATGTGAGGTAGGGAAATAATAATTTGAGTATGTGTATATAAATATGTAATTTACAACAGCTGTAAGATGCTTGAAAAGCTGGAAAATGCAACTTGAAAATGCTTGAAAAGTGCTTGAATTTGACTTTGGAAAAGGTGTAAGAACCCTGCCCATCACTCTGTGTGACTCCCCAGTAACTGCTGTGGAGTCTTTCCGCTTCTTGGGCACCATCATTGCCCAGGACCTCAAACGGGAGCAGGACATAGCAGACATTTTCTGATCTGTGAGTGTGAAAAGGTTAAATCTCTATATTCTGATGATGATCATTGCTCTCTTCTTTGTTCATCTGCCCTCTTTGATTGAATACTTTATCAACAGTTTGAAAAATGTACAGGGGCACAGTTATACAATAATGCTAAAAGCCAAGGATAACAAAAAGCCCTGAGGGCTTGTTTCCATTGTGGTCCTGTGTATTCAATTAATCTGTATGAGTTCTCTCCTGATAGGATACTGAAAATGCCTTTTCTGTTTACCAAAGAGCTGTAGGGAAGGGGAGACCCCTGTTACTGACTAAACACTTGATCACTATACACACACACACACACACACACACACACACACACACACACACACACACACACACACACACACACACACACACACACACACACACCTAATAACCTTTCAAATGTTTGCGTTTTACAGATGGAACCACACAGATGCACGGCGATGAAACCAGGCTGCTTTTGAAAGGCAAGTCTATTAGACTTAGTGTAATTCCTCATGAGTCATTTGCAGGTTATTTTCAATTCTCACTTTACACTTTTCAATTATCTTTTTCTTAAGACATTGCCATCCAGAAGATGACTTCAATGCTCGCTGAAGTACTTGTGGTGGTAAAGGACCTGTCCAGAGATGTGCAGTTCATCAAGAATGAGTTGGCAGAGGGCAACATGACTCCGGCTGGTAGTCAGGGACCAGGGTCAGCCACAACCCATATGTTCCCCATCCAGCTGCCAATCGCCAATGAAGACGACTTCAATGAGGCTGAATCATTGCTGAAGAATGAATCAGTCTGTCAAAAGATGGTAATTTGACAGACTGAACTGCATTCATTTATGAAATGTGGATAATATCAGTGCGGTCAAAATGTGCTTAGTTATTGCCCTTTAGCTACTCAACCACAAATAATTCTAGTCTACAAGTTCAAAACCTGTCACGGTGCATGTATGAGCAAGATCTGCTATTTATGGAAAAGTATCGAAATTGTTCAAATATATTTTTTACATTTATATTGACATGACCAAAATTGGGACACCAGGGTTAAAGTGGTTAAACATAACGACTGGCATGAACTTGACTGAATACCATGGGCTGGAATATCAGTGTATCAAGTGTATGAAATAAGAGTGCTGTTGTGCTGTTTCTAACGTATGTCCCACAGAACGTAGCTCAATACAACAGTTAAAGCAGTGGCCTATTTGTTTCTCTCGTCTGATTTAGATTGCTCGCCTGGCTCTGGTAGGAGGCACCAATTCAGAGAACCTGATCAGACGGATGCTGGCAACTGCTCTGACTAACGCCTTGGCCTGTCGGTACAACTGGGCTGGAAAGAAAGACAAGCGTTGCAGCAGCAAGAAGCCATTCAAGGAAACGGCAATACAAGACTGCATGTTTGGTGAGTTTCCTCCCCTGCAAACTACTTATTAGCTTAAGTTTAGGGAGTGAGGTGTGACTGATGGTGATTCAGAACATAATTATGCTCTTTGTGAGCCATATAGTACCGACTACCGAGTTTGAATCCAACTCCTATAATGTATTGTATGTCTCTTCTCTGCCCTTGTTTCATGTCTCTCTGTAATCCCCTGTTGAAGAATAAAGCATGAACTTAATCTAACAAAAAAGGTTAGGTTGGAATCAGGTGATGGTGAAGCTATAAGAAATAAGCTGGTGAGCTTTAGAGGTGCTTAGATGCAAATGTTATTACCTGGATAGAGCCAGGCTAGCCGTTTGCTCCTCTTTCCAGTCCAGTCTTTGAGCAAACTGGCTGCTGACTGTAGCTTGTGTTACTGTACAGAGTGAGAGTGATTTTCTTATTATAACAGAAGTTGTATGGGATACACACTCTCTCTCTTCCTCACGCTTATTTTTGTAATCTTGTCTTTCAGCTGCTGCTCGGCAGTTCGACCGCAAGCTGACCCACAATGGCTTCAGTGAAACTGTGAAGAAGTGGCTTCGTTATGCTCCAGAGCGCGAGGGAGGCATCCCAAGGAACACAAGTGAAACGAACACAAGTGAAACAAACGCAAGTCCAACTTAGGGTACCCCACCACACTCTAATGTGTTTTCCTTGTGCATACAGTACAAAGGTTACCACCTCATAGACAATACTGTTCTTTCATGGACAATAGACTGTTGTTCTTACAGTCAAAAATAAGTCAAATGTTTACAGCTTCGCCTTAATGGAAGACTTGAAGCTTCAGGCTGTTCTTGTTTGGAGTTGCACCAATGGTTCTTACACACCCTCTTTTTTGTATGGGGGTATCTTGTGTCACTGTATATTTGCACATACGATGTGTCCTCTGCATTTATTCCACAGCGTTTGGGGAGCAATAACAGGTTAAGAGTCTTGCTCAGGGATGCATTGCTGCCTGTTTTCTAAAATAAATTTGAATATTAAAATCATGTTTTCTGTCATTTTTAGTTTGATTTCATACATTTTGGGAAATATGGTAATTCAAGGTCATTTTGAACAAGCTAATAACAATCGTCTGCCAACAATACATGGTGTAGTGTGTGTTTACAAGTTTGGACCACTTCATTCAGTACAGTATTGATGTTGCACTTGTTAATGGTCTGTTAAGATGTAGACCTATACGCAGAAAACTCATTGGTGAAAAACATTCACTTTTTTAATGTTACAGTATGCTTAGAAAAGTTGAATATTTGAATGTAAGTTTTACATTTAGATTCCCATTTAGATGATGGTTGAATCAATATTGATTCCTAACACTGATTCAATGTCAAATCAACTACAATTTACATGTAGATTCCCATTTGGATGATGGTTGAATCAATGTCGATTCCTAACATTGATTCAATGTCAAATCAACCAAAAATGTGCATGTAGATTCCTATTTAGATGATGGTTAAATCAACATTGATTATATGTCAGTTATGGTTGAAAGTCCAACGTTTATTCAAAATTAAAACAATTTGCGCTTTCTGTTTAATTTCAATGTCCGGCTTTCAACATGGATTCAATATTTCTGCCTAACCATATTTCAACATTGATTCACTCATATTTTGCTATCGGAGTCCTTAAGAGTCCGTCTTTAGAATTTTATTTTTTTTTGGAAATATATATCCGAGTCAAACATTTCTTTAAGGGGAAATGTTTGATTTTTAGTTGGGGGGGTGTTACGACCCTGGGTCGTTAGGTCATTTTTGTGTACATTTTTCCCTGTGTGTGTGTGTGTGTGTGTGTGTGTGTGTGTGTGTGTGTGTGTGTGTGTGTGTGTGTGTGTGTGGGTGGTGCCCGTTAGCTACCTGCTGCATGCTGATTGGTCCACCTGAGGAGACGGGAGCATTTTTAAGCTGGTGCTGTGCAGTTCCTCGGCCGCTCTCTCTGACTCGACTTCTCCTACTCCCAACACTGTTGCGCATTTGTATCTGTCCTGTGTTCACACTTTGACTGTGTACCTTGTCATTCTCTTCTTGCGGGAAGACTTAAGAATGTAAGCCACTTTACCTGTCTTTGCAGGCATATATGTTTTACTCAGGAGTGCAAAACCCTTTTTCTCTGGTTAATTCGTTTTCTCATGTGAGTAGGTAAGAAGCCTGTACGTTTATTTTTCTCATTCGTTAGGTAAGATTTTTGTGGTTTTGTTACTCCTGTGTGTGTGTATATTTTGGGTAATTAAATGTACCAAACGCTTTCTCTGTCTTGGCGTCCATGTTCTTGGGAGTGGGGAGAGTGCAACTTTGTGTTGCGCCTAGGTTCCCTAGATCTGGGCGTAACACAATCAATAAATCAAGTAGAAAAAGTGTATAACCCACAAATTAAAAGTTATAAAACACAAGTTGGTTTTATTAAATGTGCACTGATTCGTTTTCTCTGAGGCTTCTCCTCTTAGATGTCTGACGTGCCAACATACTTACATTTTAAAATCAATCCTCAAAGTTACAGGGAGCCAATAGAGAGGAACTAAAACTGGTGGCATATGTGATGTATTGTAAGTTTTGTTAAATGTTTAAAGTAGGGCCGGGACTCAATTAAAAAAAGTAATCTAATTAATTAGAGGCTTTGTAATTAATTAATCGAAATTAATCGCATTTTTAATCACATGTAAATATTTGACCTGAGAACAGTGAGAAGCAATTTTTTTCACATGGATTTTAGTATACCATTAGGCGCATTCACACCGCAGTACTTTTCCCACAAAGGTTCATGAGAACTCTTTGAACCTGGGGGTGGATTAGGCAAATGAAGCCGCTGACGTCACTTATTCTTCTTCTGCTTCAGTAGAAGCTGCTGGGAGTCCCAGCAGCCTTCCGAGTAAATCGCCAGAACGCCGACACCTCCTCATCTCCACCGCTCCCATGTTTTATTTTGTGTTGCCATAAATTAGTCTCTCTGCGTTTCTGCGCTGGGCTAATGCTAATAATGCTAATGCGAGGATAATAAAATTCACAAAACTTTTTGGGAGTTTTACGGGGCGTGGTTTGCAATCCGCCCAGCCAATCAGAAATATAGCTCTTTTCTCACAAGAGAGCCGCACGAAAGTCCCTGCTCTCTAGCAGCTCTCTTGATTGAATTGATTGAAAAGTTTATTAACAGCTTGTATATTGGGGTACAGTACAGTACAGCTCAAAACATACAATTGTTAAGGGTAGGGATGCACCGAATATTCGGCCACCGAAAATTATCGGCCGAAAATGGTTAAAAAGGAAAAATATCACCGAATGTCAGAACAGGCTTACGTTGGTAACCTAACGTGTTGTTGTGATGACGTAATAAAGACGCGGCGACCATGCTCGCGGCTGGCTCACAGGGGGGGGGGAACAGTGACCTTTGTCATCGAGATTGCCCTGAGCCTTTAACAAATCGTATTAAATAATCTGATGACAGACTGTAAACAGAATAGCTGAAATTTTAACAAACTAAATAACTCAGTTACCTCTAATCATTAACCCATGTTTGTTTCATGTAGTTAACTCCGTGTGTTGCTGCTAGCATACATAACACCTGACGTGGAAACGTTACTCGTGGATGGAGCTACAGAGCTGCTAGAAAGACGGTCGAACCCGGTACATTCCTCCGTCTGCATGCGGTGCACTTTTGCTAAATGTTTAGACAAATTGCTCGTGCTTACATGCTAAACTCTTATTGCACTTATGGTAACAAGTATTCTCCACATCGAGACGGGTAAAGTTTAACCACACCTCGGAGCGCGTTCTCTCCGCCATCTCCGCAGTGTGCTCCGCTGCATGTAGCAGCTGCGTGTGTGTAAACTGCCCCGCCCCCTCGCACACAGACGGGGGAGAGAGATCTCGTCTGATCGAAAATACATCATAGACGCATTTGTTGTCTTTGCATATTAGAAACGAGTTGGCGACACTAAGACTGCGATATAATGTTTTTTAGCAATAATACATGACATATATAAATTTACTGTATGCATTCAAAAGTGCTGAATAAATGTTTTATGGACCCATAATAGTGATTATTATTTAAGTTAAGTTTTGCCATAATCATGTCTATTTCCATAATCAGGTAGCTGAACAACATTGGTAAAAAATGTATACATTATATATATATATATTTCTATTAATCATTTTCGGCCTTTCGGCATTCGGTTTTCGGCCAACTGTTTCCTATTTTCGGTATCGGTTTCGGCCAAGAATTTCCCATTCGGTGCACCCCTAGTTAAGGGGATGCAGACCAGAGAAAGACTTTCGTCTTGTTTACATCAGGGTCCCCCATTTCCAATTCATCCCCCATTTCCAATTCAACTCTGCTCTCTAGCAGGGACTTTCGTGGGGGTAAAAAGGTTCTCATGAACTAATTTTAGTACCGGCTCTTTTTGGTGTGAACGCGATAAAAGAGGCTAACGTCTACGCTAGCTTCCACGCTAGCTGCTATATGTTTTTGCATTGAGGTGATACTTGAGGCTTGATGTGCTGCGGTGATATGCGAATTCCTTTTTGCATAATTTGCACACAACCGTGCTCTTAACGACGCTTCCATCCGTCCGTTTTTTAAAACAACATTTCCCACTGTTGTTCACTGTGGTTTGTTGTTGTCTGAAGTCATGAACGTTAGTTGGTGCTCCAGTATAATCGGTACGCCTGAAACTCATCCAGTGAGAAACGTTCCGCGGTGCAAAAATAAGTGCGATTAAAATGCGTTAATTTTTTTAACGCGTTAATTTTTGTGTAATTAATTAATCTTAATTAACGCGTTAAAGTCCCGGCCCTAGTTTAAAGTTTTCAGAGTGAAGCAATTCAATTAATAATTCTGCCTTCCATATCGAGGCCAACAAAACAAATGTTCTTGTTTTTCTAATGATTTGTTCCTATTTAAATATGAAGTGAAGACAGTTGGCCCTTGTCTTGATATGGTCATAAAGAATGTTTTAAAGAAATGTTTACATTGCTCACTGGCAATTTACGGTATGCCTTTAAGGGCATAGTTTGTTAGATAGAAAATGATCCCAAAGAATGACCTCAACCTTTGTGTTGACCGATATTGAGCCGTTCATCTTTTAACCTGTAATGTTTTTGTAGTAAGGTGACATTGCACTTGTTTTTTGATTTAATGTTTTGTTGTAAATAGTTGAAAATATCTCAATATTTTACATATGTCCTGTATTTTTTTTTAATGATCTTTGTGTTTTCGATTGATATTTGTTCATATTAGAATGTTCAAAGATTCATATTTTCCTAATGTAGCTATATTTTGTAGCATTTTTTTTATAAATCATTTTTGCAGTACACTTCTTCTCTCTGATGATGAGCTGTTAAAAACATGTTTGAAGCAAACAGAAATAAACTTTATATAAATAATGAAGCCAAATTGATTGACTTTCAAGGTTCATATTAGTATTCAGTGCCTCTACTGGGAGAGAAACTGCCTCGGTAGGGAACTTTGGGATGTTAGCCTTTGCAGACAATTTACAAGCACAAAAAGGGAAGGGAAATCCCTAAAAGGCAGTGGCGTTTTCTCCTGGAGGCCAAGGGAAGCCAGGCTCCCCCTGTTTTTTCGGATTGTAGTTATAATTTAAATAAATAAAAACACTTTGTTTTGTTTCGATAATT